TGTCTTGTCATGTCTAGAATTGGTTTTCTGACTTTCAATTCAGCTCTGTGCAGTAAACAAACTTGATTGTCAGACAAATAGAGAGCCTGAAATTTTACACCATGTGGGAAGCCAGGGTCAAATCCCTCCCTGCTCAGTTTGAGGGGGAGCTGTGTCTTTCCAGTAGCTCTTGAAAATCAAGACTTCAAACTGTGTTTTATAGTCATCTCTGTAAATAGAATTACATTAATTTTTGAGGGTTTTTTCAATTATTAAATTGAAAAAAAGAACTTTTAGCTATTTTAATATTTATCATTATTTTATCAGAGATCAATCTTGCATTTAGTTTCTCATCCCTTCCATTTAAAAAAATATCTGAACAAGAAGTAATTTTAGATTTTGTTAACAATATTAATGATTCTGTTTCCTGAAATCTCTGAGAATCTCATAATTCTCAAAAAACTTCATATATTTGCCTAGATCACTTCTCTTTTCCCACATTCAGCTGACACTACTACATTCTTCAATTGACAAAATCTCTATCTTGGTATGTCATGTGCACTTGAAAAAAAAATCAAAAATGAAAAATAATTTTTATGTCAAATCCATTGCCCTTCCATACATACATACAGAAGCTCAAACTGAGGAATTTAAGCTTTAAGGTTTCACTACACCTCAGTTTTCATAATTCTTATTTTCACATCTTCCAGAATGCTGTTTTTCTTGTGTTTAACCTTATAAAACCTGAAAGAATTTGTTTCTCTTCAAGCTGCTCCTAAGTGGTTTTATATCACACTTAGTAGAAAGCAAAAGTAGCTCTTTTATTGTTACAGTGTTATTGATCAAAGGCCTAATTTAAAAGATCTCTTTCGTCATAAATGATGGTTATTCCCATGTTTTTTGCACCTCACACCCAGCATACCACCACATCCATAAATTCCAGCATCTTTTTTACACTTTTGATTCATGCCCTTGTATGTTCTAGGTTTCAAAGTTTGGCTGTTACAGGAAAGGCTCATGGCATTCAGGATTATACAGCCTGTAAACAGCAAGAAGCTTAGAATTTTGCCTTAACTTGACAGTAGCCATCACAAAATTCAAACCAGACGAAACAGCCACCATTTGTGTAGTATACATATCCTGGGGATATGAGCACTACTTAGTGTTCATGACAATACAGACACTGCAATAAATGACCTTTTGATTAACTGGAAATGTGATAAATTTTACCTGCACTAGAGTAGTTTAAATGACCTTTGAAATTTGTAAAAGCTTCCCATCAGAGTAAATAAGCATTTAATTGGGCCATTTAGGATGCATACTACTGACAATTTGCTGTCATTTCAACCTCAACCAAAAAAAAAAAGAAATTGTTCGTGAGGCATCTTCACTAACTAAATAAACTGGATGGCACTGGCAAACTCACTGAGTTTTTCTTTGTTTGCTTGTCTGTGCTTTTTCCTTTAAGCAGTAAAGAACAGAGAGTGTTGACAGAGTCTAGTTCATCGTCATACCATCTAATTCTGGGGTAACCTTAAAAAATTAGTGGTGCTCAACACAAACACCCTTGTAGCTTCTCTTGTGTCTTTGGGGCCCTCTGGTACATTCTGCTGCTGCCTGGATGACTTCTTAACTCTTATTGATTGGCTCTCCCAGCTCTTATCTCGGTGTTGCACTGACACTTGCCACATGTTTTACAAGCAAAACTTGGATTTTATTGCAGGCTGCCTTATCAGATGTGCTCATTCTCTAAGGAAGAAAACAATTGTTTGCCAGTGCCAAGAGCATCACCTGCTGTTGGATGAGAAATCAGCATTCCTTTTTCCTGAGGAGTAAGGCTAATCCCTACTTAATTTTTCAGGGTAACTGAGCTGAATATGCAGATTGGGACTGAGGAATCTGACCATATAACTCATGCTTTACTGCTACATTTTATAATATTTTGCCATGTGCACATTGCAGTTCATGTGTTGGGATTTCTAGTGTCACTTTGACACAGAGAAAGCAGAATATTTTGATATTTTACAATTTAGGAATATTTCTTCTTCCATCAAAATTTGACTATAAAATAGCACTTTCTAAGAGATCAGGTTGATTTTACAGCTCCTATCGACTTGCTTAAAACCAGATACTTACAGTTTCTGAGGATATACGAAGATAAATCTTTCCTTAAAATATAGAAGGAATCAAAGTATTGATTAGTATCTACAACTCTGAATCACCAGAATGACAACTTTGAGTCTTCCTTTCTTCCTTTCTCCATTTCTTCTCTTCTAAATTCAGATGCTATGAGCTCTCTTTGTGTTTATACACCTAACAATGCTTTCTGAGATTTAATTCCCATGTATGTTTATATATACATGCTGTGTCACACACTCACTGGGTGAAATAACACTCATGGGGAAAAATAACATGAAGCTATTTTGATAAACTCCTTTGTGCTGCTAAAACTTGGAAAGATAATGTATAGAATAAGTTCAGTTATTGAAAAAAGGTGGAAATATGAGGAGAAAAAGTATTTGACAACGTGTGGCAAATGAATTTAAACTTTAAAACAAAAACAATTTTAATTCAGGAGCAGAATTCTTTTTGTTAAGTCCTGCAGTAAATGACCAGAGAGAACTAAGTCCAGAATTAATACTGGCTTCTTTTGAACCATATTACTATCATGTTGAGATTTCATTTTTATGGATTGGGTACAAATTGCTAATAGACAGATGTTTTTGTTGCTTCAATTTGATGCAAAAGAAGTTATTCACAACCCTAAATACTTTAATACAAATAATTTGTATCAAATAGTTAAACTAATCCTCTTTAGGAATAATAAAATTAATTGCTTATCATATAATAAATTTTTAGTGTGAACAATTAACACAGGTTTCAGAAAATGACTTTACAGATTTCTGTCCACTAGAGGTCTCTAGAGAAATGCAATAAACTTCAGAATAGCAGATACCTTAGACTTTCTTCTTGACAATATTTACATGTCCTGGAAGATGAAAATCAACACGTGTTCTTTTCTTATTCCAGGTATTTCTTTGGATATACTCTTTCTGTTGTAGGTAATAATTATTCCTATTACTATGGTAGTAATTCAAATCCATTCAGTGTTTTAATCAATTTTATAGTTAGATATTTAACATTTATAATTAGAACTTCAACATCACATCACTTAGGAAATATAATAGCACAAAGCATTTAGCAGAAGGAAGAAAAAAACTAAGGTGGCAGCTTAGTTTATGTCTGCATTTACTATTTTTTGCTAATGCTTGCCTCATTAAATATAGTATAATGATGTCACCAGGCTTGTTATTAAGTGTTGGACAATAGCCTACTGTACTCAATGCAGAGAACAAATGGGATTCTCTGAGATTTGAGGAGGTAGGGTCACTAATCAGAAAACTGGAAAACCGTGAAAAGAGAAAAGGTTTCCCTCTCAGATTGCTCCATCATTTACTGTGGTGGATAGCTCTGTAAACAAGAGCTCAATGCATGCAGCAGCATTAATTGCTACTTTTTTTTGGTGCTACATGGTAAGTGTGGAAGAGAAGAACATGAGCTATGCTGAGGTCTCAGAGATGAGGGAGGAACTCCTGAGAAGACAGGTTACTGGGACAGTTCTGGGACTTTCTGAAGTTTTTCAAGTTAATTTTACAGTGTATCTTCTGATTTTTTTTCACCTTTAAATTGAGATCTGCAAAGACTACTCAACTAAGGCAAATTAGCAGCTTGAAATATCACAGCTAGACACAAGAGGCGATATTTCTCAGAGTATTTCCTGCTGCAAAGACCCGGAAGAAATAAAAAGCATATCAGGACAGCACTGATATTCTCCTAAAGCATGTAATATGAAATCACAGAGTTGACCCATCACCTCCACCAGTGGATCTGTCAGTGAGGTTTCAGGCATGGAGTTCATACATCAAGAGGTACTGACACTTCCATGAGCTATCTTGAGCTTTTTGCAAGTTGGGTATATAGAGGTTATGATAGAACAGAAGCCCACATACCATTTAACTAAATGTCTCTGCTCTTAATCTGAGAAACCATGAAGTGTTATGCAAACACAACTATATAAATGGCAGAATTTTTTCCTTGGCATGAAAATTTCAAACTCCTGGATTGCAGTCAACACACAAGCTGCCCCTGGAACCTTAAGACTATCCCTTCATAGGAGATTTGACCTGCCATTTCTGCCTCAGTTTCCTCAGTTACAGCTCAGATTTAGGTTTTCCATTTCCATTACCTTTTCCAAGAGGCTTTGAAGGACCAGCCAATAAGTAGTTAAGAGAAAAGTACACATGCAAATGTTCAGCTACTCTGTGATTTTGATATAATAAGTAATCATATATTACATAAAGCTCTGAATGAAAGCATTATGTAACAGTACTTGTTATCATTAAAATGAAAATGAATATTTAAATTAATACTGCATTTGATTGAGTGACTACTTCATAATCAGAGTATGTGTTAATACGGCTTTTTTTTTCTCAAGACAAAAATGTTATTTCAGGTTATTGGCAACTGTATTTGTAACTTCCATCAACTTCACTAATTAGCTCATAGCTGATAACTGTGAGGACATGGAAAACAAAGGAAAGCAATTCAGTTCGTATGGGAACAGACATCTTCCTCTGGGTTTGAATAAAACCACACGCAGTGATCATGACCTCTGGATGCCTCAGTGCTATAAATACTAAACCATAAGTCAAAGTCTAAACTTCTCAAACTCTCTCTGTTGTTGTGTCAGCAGAATAAAATGCTAAGCCTTCTGTAATAAGGAAGAAATTAATCAATTGGGGATTAAAAGCAATTATTTATATGGTTAATTGAGGTACTGATTTAGGTTACTGAAGCTGGCAGCAGGATCTGTTTGCTGTTCTAAGGGGGGTGGTACAAAGGTTCAGGTTGATCCTCTGGTTCCCTCCCACCACCTTCTAGCATGTATATAAATTGTCAGCTCTCCAGACCCTTTGCCAGTTCTCTCTTCTAGACTTGCCAGAAGCAACAAAGGACTAAAGATGAAGATCTTTTTCTTATTCACCTTTTTGCCTTTTTTGTTGTCTGCTTTTGAACAAGCAGCTGCTTCTGCTCACTATGACAAGATTTTAACTCACAGTCGAATAAGGGCACGCGACCAGGGGTAAGTAACTGGCTTTTATTTCTAATTTAAAAAGAAGCTTGTTAATCTTTATTCTCCCCTTTCTTTTAGCATTATATTACATGCAATTTTTCACTATGAATTTTTGCTGTCCTTCGAGTAGAATTTTCTTTTAAAATTCATTTTACAATAATTGTTCCTGAATAAAAAGCTTTACACAGAGTTTTGAAAAGAGACAGAATACTGTTAAACTTCATAAAATGGAAAGAAATCTAAAATCACCACTTCATAATGAATAAAATGTGATTCAGAATCACCAAAATTAATTTCAGTTTGTAAGTATTGTAATGGGAGATCAGAAATTTTTATGTGTTTTCAGTCTTATGCAGGGTTGATAGCTACCCACAGTATTTGCTCTCTTTATTCCATCCTGATGAAAACCGTTAACTCTATTTAAATGTTTTCTAATGTGGGAATATATACTGGGAATCCTTTGTGAAACTTCTGTTCCCACTAGAGCAATGCAGCAAGCTGCTCAGCAGGGCTTTCAAAAGGCAACGCTTACAAGCCAGGCTGCTTGGAGACATGGAAATAATTTGAACAGCTGGTGTCAGGAAAACACATGTGCCTAAAGATATTTTCCTCTAGTCTTCTTAAGCAAAAAACATTCTGTGAATAAGAATTGTTTACCATCCTATCTTCCCACTGCCTGCTACACACATGTGCTTTTCCAATTTTTTTTAGCTTTTCAAATAAAGAAGCTCACTAGCTTCCCAGTGATGTAAAGTATATAGTCTAACTTCTGAGCTGATGAATTTTTTTAATTGCAGAAGTATAAAAATAAGGGATGAAATGCCCTTGCTCCATGGAATTTGACCATAAGAAATTCATCTTTGTACACCACCATGCTAAGGAACATGTATTCCTCCTCTGAAGCCTGTGACTCCTTTTATTTACATGCCAATTTACCCTTTGGTCCCCAGTAATTCCCAGAATGTTTATTTAGGTGCCTGCGGTACTCAAAATGGTTGGTAATCAGAATAGGTGATTGATTTACAGAAGACAGGGCTTCCTTCTACATAAAGAACAAGGCACTTTTTCTTCCCCATCTCCCCACGACCTTCAGCTGCACAGATGTGTAAAAGACAAAAACTTTAATGAAAAGAGCCTCATGGTGTTCACTGGTCCCCGGGGTCTGGGATTCACTTCTCAGGGGGAAGGGAGAAATGGATATCAAGACTTGCCTGGGCACAGCTGGTGATCACTGCCCATCAGACACACAGGGTCAAACCAGAATGAAGGGGAAGCTTCTGTCGCTGCAGGGAGGGTGGACTTGCCAAGTAATCCAGCTGGGCAGCCCCAAGAACTTGCACTGTGGCTACTTCAAAACACACCTGTCCTGGGATATGCAGCCAGGTGTTAATTTGTTACTCGACAGGAAAACTATTTGCTACTATTTCATGTAAATTTTTTCATGTATGAAAACTTCTTTTTACAATGTTTCTCACTGCACCCATAGCCCAAATGTCTGTGCTCTTCAGCAAGTTATGGGAACAAAAAAGAAATACTTCAGCACTTGCAGAAACTGGTACCAGCAATCCATCTGTGGAAAGAAAGCGTAAGTATGCTCTGCTTCCAAACTGTTCTCTATTGACTGAGATAATAAAATGTATGATTAGAACACTCCTTTTCTCACAGACAAACTGTTTATAGTTTATGTCAGAATCTTTACTTCTCCTCCAGATGGCATTGCAATACTGACTTCCCCTTTCCTTCTCTGGGCACACTGCAAGTCATCCAAAATACTTCACCTTTTCAGTAAAGTCTGCCATACTACTGACAACTTTGGCACTAAATTTTATTCCAACCGCAGACACATTGGGAAGAAAGGTATTTCCTGAAAATGGTTACAGTGGAACTTGAATATTCTCACAGGCAGTTTTGGAAAGCAACCTACTTCTGTGGTTTTATTCCTAGATAGATGTCACGTCTTCCCATGAAAGAAAGTCTGCTCTCAGAGTGAATCTGAGGGAATTCATTACTTTTCAAAGCTCCAGGAGCACTGATGGATAACTTCATGTGTTAGGAAAAGTAGTTTGAAGCAATAGGCAGTTTAGACTCATCGAACTGAAGTCACGTGGAGACTTTGTTCTCCTCATGACCAGAATTTGGAGGAATGTTAACTGTAAAATATTACAGAAATCCTGTGCAAGGCCTCAAGAAGTCTAATACAGCCAACCAGAGAAAGACATTGAGTGGTGGATTTGGGTGGGTTTGGTCATGACAGTGTACACAAAATTATCACCTGCTCTTCCCCTTCCATTTTAACGCCCCTACCATTGTACAAGCACTCACAGATCAGGGCTAGATGAGAAAAAGAATCTGTGTGAGAATAAGTTGAGTCATTGAACTCCTGAGGGTTGTTTAAGGGTTTTTTGTGGTTATAATAAAGCATCTGTTGTAACTTAACCTTAGCCATTAATGAGTTTTATACTCTGCATACTAAACCCAGAAACACAGACAAAACTAAGAGACTTCTCCAATAAGAATGCTAATCCAAAGGACAACAGCTCATCTCATGTCAATATCTCCATGTTAAAAAGTCCTCTCTAACTTATGTCTATAAAATGTTGAAAGTTTTTTTTATGTGCAATTCCCATTTACAATGGAAGTGTAACATACAAATTTCCTAAATCAGCATTTGTTGGAACAAAAGTCTTTCCACTGTTTCTCAGCAGTATTTTATCTCCATGCCAGCAAGAAGTAGAAATAGATGAGTCACAGAGCTGATTTAAATAAACTGAAAACTGGCTCTATTAGCCAAGAATAACAAGGATTAAGGTAGTGCTGTTCTGTCTTTTTCCTTTGGAATATACTCCTTTGGATGAGGTCAGGACAATGTTGTACTTAAAAAAACACCAAAAAATCAACAAACAAACCAAAACAAAACAACAACAACAACAAAAAAAAACCCAACAAAGACAAAGAAACTAACCCGACCGAAACCTCAAGAATGCATCATTGGTTTCTCAGCTGAATAATTGATTTCTTTCTGCTTTTGGCCACAGGCTTCTTTTGAACCAGTAGGGATGCATATGAGGATAATTTCTGGTCTGGTCTGAGGTGGCATTTCCCCTGTGTGCTCTGCCTACACACAGGTGGTACTGAGGAACTGCATCTTGCACCAAATTTTATCTGGTTCTGACTTTATTGCAGGATGATACTCCATATAAACCTCTTTTCTCCCATCCCATCTTTCTTACATTCTGGGCACAGCTAAAGAACTTTCTAACTGCAGAAAACTGTAAGGGAATATGAATAATGTAAGTAGGAACTTGCTAACTGAAAAGAAGCCTGGGCTGTGCATAACAAGATACGTGGTAAAAAAGTCACTGATCTTGTAATGCTTGGCTGAAGAAGCATTTTCTTCTTACCTTTGTTCTTCAGCCAATTTTCTGTCTTTCATTAATTGTATCATTGTTGGATGTGGTATGAGAATTATCTTGCCATGTCTTAATCTATGCTTATAACTCAGCTGCCTCTTTCCTTTTTCCAAAAGCTAATTAAACTGCAATCTTTCATAGCTTCCCATGGGATGAGGGGGAAATATTTGCTATTCCAAGGGAGGAAAAAATATTTTCTCATGACAAAGCAGTTCACACAGTTAGGAGAACATTTTAATTCCTATTTTGCTACACTTTTTTTTAACAGATAATCAGATTATTGTGTTTTTATTATTAGCTTCTGGCAAGGATGCAAGAAGGACTAAGAGTAAAAGGTTTATCATTAGATTAAAAATCTGTAGCCCATGCTATCCATGCATTCCCAAGACACAGCCTTTAATGAATTCCTTTAAAGGAAGAGATGTACTAAAAGAACTATACAAATACTTTCAATATATAGTTTCTCAGTTGAAAATATGTACATGGTGAATATATCATGTATGTATATGCCTGTGAAGGAATAGATAATAAATATTTTCATAGCACAGAGAAATAAAAGACTGTGTTTAATAAAGAAATAATTTTCACCACCTCTATCAGATTGCTCTCTTTTATGGAATGATAATCCTTACTTTTCCAATCATGCTGTTTATTATTATTTTTCTTCCAGTCTACTTTATTTTAAAATCTCTTTAAGTAGTTTGGATGTTGAAGATATTAAGTCCAAATTTTCATTTGAATAAGTTGTTCATTTTAATGTGGTTGTGATTAACTTTTTGTCAGCTTTAAATTATGAAACATGAGAAAAATGTACTCAGCTGCCACCAAAGATTCTGCTAATTAAAAATGAACTGTAGTGGTTAAAGGCCCAGTAAAAAGCTTCAAGGAATGAGTGTTCAGAACTTTTGAATTGCCAGCATCAGCCACACCTATAAAAATGAATATATTGTGTAAAACAGTAATGTCATTATGGTATACCATATACTGTACAGTGTAAGATAATTTGAAAAATAATATCTGAAGTGTAATGAATTAAATTTCTTCCAAGGAGCCAAAATTCAGTGATAACTTCAGTGAATTTGCATTTTCCTGTAAAAGAGGAGGATTTTTCAAACAGGTCAATGGTAGAACTCTTATTTCTGTTTAAAATTAAGAAGAAATTATATCTCATAAGAAACACAATGTTAAAATGAACATTACATTATAGAATCATCAATCAGCCCTGTTTTGCTGTTATGTGTAGCTTATGTGTATTTGAGAAGTAGAGTATTTTTATATAACATTTCCTGGCCCCTGGCAATGCTAAGGTCTCTGTGTGCTGTGATGACAAACTTTTTAAACCCTGGCTTTGGTTTCTTGTATTCTGGTTTTCATCCTTACTACATTTACCTGTGAACTTTCCCTTGAGTCCATCCATCCAGTTTTTAGTGACTTCCTTCTCTGGAACCAGTTTTATGTCTGTTCTTAATTAGTTCTCTTCCTCATTCTTGACCTTCTTCAAATTCTTCCTTGGAGAACAGAGGCTCTCTTATCCCACTTTTTATCTCCATACAATGCACAGGACCTTCTCTGAAATACTTGTCAATTCCTATAACCAGTATGTAGGTGACCTCATGTAGTTCTCTCACTTTAATTTCTATTCTGTTCATTTAAATTTGTCTTTTTCCTTCACAACCCTTTGACCAGGATTTTATTTTAATGATGTCAGTCTTTCTTTAAATTCAAAAACTTTACATTCAGTAAAATATGACCAATTTGTAATCAATACAAAAAGGGCTGAATGACAAAAAAAGGCTGAAATGCTGGAGAATATGTGCTAGCAATGAAAAATTGATAATAGAAATAAAATTAGACTTAGCTAAAATTAGTTTATTTCTCCTACATATTATTTAATGGTGCTTTTGTCTGAATCCACAGAACTGTCTTATATGAGTGCTGTCCTGGCTATATGAAGATGGATGGTACAAGGGGATGTCCTGCAGGTATAAGCTTATTTTCTTATAGATAAGTTGCATATGGAAAAAATTAAAATTACAGCAGAGTTTCAGAGGTGATCAGCATGAGAAATGATTGCCTCTTTTTAAGAAGTACTGCCTAAGAATGCACAGCTTCATTTGCATGCAGCAAGCACAATTAAAAATTAGCTAGCATTGAATTTGATCATAAAGTTTAGGTTGAATTTCCCAGCTCCTTCCAGATTCTGGATTGGTGAGAAATGATAGTGTCTTCAGTTCCCAAAGCTGCCAAAGAAGAGCTTTAATTCCTATTCCCATCAAATCTGAGACTAGTCTGAAGCATATCAGTGTGGTCAGAAAGCCAGGACTCAGGGTGGAGCATATCTAAATTTGTATTTTCTTTTTTCTGAAAAAACTTGAATCTAATTTACTTAAAGAGTCTTATAGCCTTTATCAAAGAAAGAGTGCAGATGAAGACAGAAATTCTGCATCTCTCCTATTTATGCTATTCTTCTTTGTAAAAATAAAACTAATTGCAGCAGACAAGAGTAGTATGAGAAGGAATACGTTTCATAGTTTTTGATCTCTGTAACTGAGATGATCCTGTTATGTTCAATAATGCAGAGTTCAGTTTGTTCAGATAAATTAATCTCCCTTCAGATGCTGACATTAGGATGAAATCAGTCACACACTAGAATCACCTGTTCTTCACAATAACCATAAAAAGAACCAAAAACCATTAGGTTGCATGCAAATGTCTCACTTCTAGATGCCTAAAATTAGGAGAGATGAATGCTGTTCTCATGTAGCCATGTTTTAACTGTGAGACTATGGCCATTACTCTCTGGATAAATCAGGATATGCATAAACCAGACATTGGAAGAAGAGTAAGAGTCCTCACGAAAAGAATTCTGGTCCATTGTGAGTTAATGAGACCCACTCCACTGAAATTTTTGTGATTGTAAATGGATAGCCTCTCTCCTTCATGTTGGGTTGATACAAAATACAACAGATCTTCTAAAGGAAACTTCACAATATTCAGTATTGTTTGATCTAATTTTTCATTAAGAAAATCACAAAAAGGAACAGCAAGCAGATGTGCTTAGGTGATTTTTGAGCATGCTGACAATGAAATTTTTAACCTAAACATATTGTTTAATTCTGACTTAAACAGTTTCAGAGCTATTACGCTTCCAAAAGACAGAAAGAAAATTTGATTGTGATAAACTGAAGAGTTTACAGTGTTCTTTCCTCATGTTTATTTTAGTTGCTCCAATTGATCATGTGTATGGTACGCTTGGTATTGTGGGAGCTACCACCACACAGCGCTACTCTGACATGTCAAAGCTGAGAGAAGAGATTGAGGGACGAGGATCATTCACTTTCTTTGCACCAAGCAATGAAGCCTGGGACCAGTTAGATTCAGTAAGTGTGTGTGTGTGCTGTGTGCATGTGCATGAATTAAACATTCTAGCTGAAGCAGCTAGTGTGGGATAAATTAGATAGGAAACAATGTCAAGTTTTAGACATAGAAGGACATAATACAGGTAATAATGAAATAATCTACATCTTTAATGTACATTTCTGAAACTAGAGAAGCTGGGTTTACTTTTAGGAGTACTAAGCAACTGTAATTGCTTCTTACTTAAGCACTTGCATGACACATATTAGTATTGTTAATTTATTTAACATAGTTTCAGGGAAACTCCTAGGAATTCCAGCAGCTGCATGATGTATGGCTGTACACTGTCAGAAATTCAGGTGTCCTTCTTTTAGTAATGATTTCAGTTAAAAAAACATTGAATTAAAGATCCTCTAATGATTTGACTGCGATGAAGACTCATCTTCCATTTGTGAGCAAATCAGACTTAAAGATCATTTAAGTAGAGCCAGATTTATAGGCATCAAAGTCGTCTTCCCTAACAGATGCTGAGTATATGTTGAAAACATGTACTAAGGTAAAACAATACATACATCTTTCTGAGTGGCAGGAGGTTTTGAAGCTTGTAATTGATTAAATTCCTTTTCTTCTTCAGGAAACCCACAGGAATTTGGTTGACAATGTAAATATTGAACTATATAATTCTCTCCACCACCACATGTTAAACAAGCGCATGTTGACAAAAGATCTTAAGAATGGCATGACCCTGGTGTCTATGTATAATGGCCAGAAATTGTTTATTAACCATTATCCCAATGGGGTAAGTCCATTCTCTTTTTTCCCCCTAATACATTTATTTATTTGATGCCTTTACTTCCTTATATAACTAAGAAAATATATTATCAAAAGTTTACCATACACCAAGTCAGTTGCCACTGAGAAAAATAAATATTCTCTTCAAGATTTTTTGTCTGCTCTGTAGACTAATCACTAAGAAAGGATGAGTAAAGACTGTGATGTTTCAAAATCAAAGTGCAAATGAAAATGAACTTTCTTCATAAAAGACAAAGCCTTTTGTGGTCAAAATACATGGTCATAAATTTGACAGCAAAATCTACTATTAATTTTTACAGTTTTGCTAAATAATATTACACAGATCTTTTATTTGAATTTGAGTCCATGGTAGGAGCATTGAAAGTTGTAGGAAACACACATCCATTATTTGCCTAGGCAAAAAAAAATAAAATTATAAATGCAAGAAACCTCCCAGTTAAGTCACTCATCTTTGTTGTCTTAAATCCATCAAAATGTTTGTCTACAGGTGTTATTGCTAAAAAGAACCAGTATAACCAACATATTAGCCAGATAAGAAATCAGAATAATTGCAGTAAGAAATTAAACATGAATATGAAATCAATGTAACCTGAATAAATCTGCTGCTATCTTTCCAGAAGCTTAGTCAAACTTTCAAATCTTAAAAGGCTTTACTTCAAATTTTGAAAAAAACAATTGGAATTACAGCAGTGAATACACAATTTACCTACATTGCCAGTCTGTGAGAGTCAGGTTCCAAGATTGTGATCAAATTACTGTTTAATCTTCTACTACTTGATTCTTCAAATATAGGTTGTCACTGTTAACTGTGCCAGGATCATCCATGGCAACCAAATTGCTACCAATGGTGTTGTCCATGTCGTTGATCGTGTCCTGACTTCCGTTGCAAATACCATTCAAGATTTCATTGAATTTGAGGATGAGCTTTCATCATTTAGAGTAAGTGGACAAAAATAAAAACTCTTCTCTGTTTATTTAAGGAGGGTTTTTTTAATTCCTTTTTTATTTGTTTACGATACCTGGAAGTAAGAGGTGTTAGCTCAGTAGGAGAGGAAAAAATAAATTAAATTAAGAGCTTCAGTTATTATTGCAAACCTAGCTATTTAAAAAGGCAACATCAATAGGACGGAATGTGTCCTTGTACCTAAAAAGTGTCTTCTCTTCAAGCACTGAGAAAATGAAATGTGAGCATGAAGTTACAGATTCTGGTGCTAGATAAATAAGAACAATTTCAAAATGGATAATAAAAAATGGTAAAGACACCAAATAAATTTCAGAACCCAACTCATAAGTCAGTAGATGCACATAAGAAGGATTTTTCTTGCATAGAGGAAGCATGGTTAAAAATTGTCCAAGTTTCTAATTTTTCCATCTTCTAAAAAATGTGTCTCCACAGTGTAATGGGATTTCATGCTGCTTATTTTAAAAAATATGCCATTGCTTTGCAGATAACTGTTGTCCTTTTCTATCTTCCATCTCCTTAATAAATATGATACAAAAAGGTATTTTAAATGGAGAGGCATAAAGGTGGAGAAGATCCTCTGAATCCCTCAAATAGAGTTCATGACAGTTATAGGAAACCACAATATTTAATATCTTTAAAAAAACTTAATATAAAACCCAATACTTTCTGGTTTTCAGTTTAAAAACATTCCTCTGTCAGTTATTTTTTTCATCTTTCTGTAAGATTCATTATCTATCTTTTTAAAACACTGATCTCAGTCTAGCATCCAAGTATCTGTAGGCATGAGGTAAAATTAGACAGATAATGCATTTTGGTAATATTTCAAATAATCAGCATTTAAATAAAAAATTATATTTTAGGCTCCTGCCATTACATCAGGTGTCATGGATATTCTTGGAAGACCCGGTCATTACACAATCTTTGCTCCTACTAATGAAGCTTTTGAGAAACTTCCAAGGGGAGTTTTAGAAAGAATCATGGGTGACAAGGTGGCCTCTGAAGGTATTTAAACTTTTTTGCAAACAAGAAATATGTTTGAGTTGATCAGGAGGCAGAAAATGCATTATCCTTATAGCTCTGGAATGAAGCACCTCTACTTTCATGTGTGTAGGAGGAGTTATTTCTTCTGTCTCTCATTTTTCCACTTGCCTAAGGATAGAAAGTCATTGAAAACTTAATCTCCAAAACAGTTTAAAGGGAACTGTGAAAATATAGGCACATTGACTTTCTAATAGTTCAGCTGCATAGGTCTGATAGACATTCCTGTCCCTAGAAATCCAGGGCTATCTGAATATTAAATTCTCTCATACCTTTGCATAGCCTATGGAGTTTTGTACTCATAGGTCCTCTTGGAGCATATCATATGCAGTGACTAGCAGATTGTAGCATAACCAATATATTTTTAATAATATAAGGGATGCCAAATAGTTTTGATCAAAAATGTGATTTAGAGGCCTACAGTATCATTAAATTTAAATAAAGTATCTGTGAGTGAAATTAATTAAAAATAGTGTATGTAAATTATACATATATGTGTCCAAACACCTACATCTATTAAATTCCTGCTCTGTTCTCTGCAGCTCTTGTGAAGTTCCATATATTAAATACTCTCCAGTGCTCTGAAGCCATCACAGGGGGAGCTGTCTATGAAACCTTGGAAGGAAACACTGTTGAAGTTGGTTGTGATGGTGAAAGTCTGACTGTGAATGGAGTGAAAATGGTGAAACGCAAAGATATTGTGAGAAGCAATGGCGTTATCCACCTCATTGATCAAGTGCTAATTCCTGATTCTGGTCAGTGATGTGACTGATGGAAAACTTGTTGCACTGAAGATATTTTTAATAACCTTATCCAGATTCCCTCAGATATGTAGTTCTGGATAAGCATGGAGAATCCAAATCTGAAATAGGAAGATATTGTGTGTTAAAATACCTTTTCTTAATTCTTTATTTGCAGCCAAACAAGTCATTGAGCTTGGGGGTGCTCAGCAGACTACATTTACGGACCTGGTGGCACAGCTAGGGTTGGCATCTTCTCTAAGGCCAGAAGGCCAATACACTCTCCTGGCACCTCTGAATGGTGCTTTCTCAGGTTAGTAGCCCTAAAAGATTGTCAAAATAAACCAGTATATACGCTACCCAACAGTTTTCCAAATAACCCCCAGTACTTGTTCTAAGTCTCACTGCAAGAGCATCATAGATAAATAGAATGACTGCATCCTTTCAAATTACATACCTTGTAGAAATACAAAACAAGCCTAACCACCAGGCTGCAGAGTTTGCTTTCACCCATATCATTTGCTAATGGAAATAGTAGCACTATAATAAGATACAAAATATACACAGAAAGATTTTAGGAATGGAAAGGTATCAATAAACTGCCAGTTTCCTTAGTCTTACATTACTTCCATTAGATTCAAAACTTATTTATTCTCAGAAAATGTATGCAGTAGTTTCATTTCAGCCAACAGCTAAGTACCACACATCCACTTGATCACTCCCCTCTTTCCCCCACTCAGGGATGGGGAGGAGAATCAGGGGGAAAAAATGTAATAAAACTTCATAGGCTTAGATAAGAGCTATTTGATAACTTTAACAAAGTAAAATAATAATATTAATAATACTAATAGTATAACAATAACAATAACAACAACAATAATAATAATAATAATAATAATAATAATAATAATAATAATAATAATAATAATGTTTTAAAGTATGATTAAAGACTAAGAGAAACAGGTGATGCATGATACAATTACCCTGACCTATGCCCAGCCATTGACTGACACCTCCCAGCCAGGTTCCCCCAGTTTATGTACTGAGCACAACATTCTATGGTATGGAATATCCCTCTGTCAAGTTTGGGTCACCTGTCCTGGACTTGATGCTTCCAGCCTCTCATGCACTGGCCACTCACAGACCATGGGACACTGAGATGTCCTTGGCTTGAGGTGAGCACTGCTCAGAAACAACAAAAATATCAGTGTGTTATAAACATTATACTCATACTAAACCCAAAAGACAGCACTGTGGGACCTGCTGGAAGGAAATTTTACTCTATCCAAGTTAAACTCAGGAAAGACAAGAAAGTTATTATTTCCCAGTACATCAAAGCAGAGGGAAACTGATATAAATATACCGTAAAACAGGTGTTTGTATATTTGTGGAGGTGGCAGCATGGATATCTTGCCTTTTCTCAAAGAATTAGAGTGTAGTCTTACTACTAAGGAAGCAAATTTGGATAGATTTTAGGTGCACATGTGGAAAGGACTGGTTCTAATACAAAATATAGCAGTAATTCAGAAGATGGAGCAGACCCACTTATAAATCACCAGACATATTAGGTATAGTAATTAATCATGGCTGTGTCAAAAGTTCTTGACTGAACTTGAATAATGGTCAAAACAATTTGTCTTCTGTATACACAGACCTGTCCATGCTTTAATTCAAGCATTTCAAAGAAAGATTCAGTATTTCCAGATTATTTTAACTATATTTGAATAAAAATTCACTATATAAATTACTATACATTAATATCTAATTTGCTTTGTAGATGACACCTTAAGGCTGGATCAACGTCTTCTTAAAAGAATCCTGCAGAATCACATTATAAAAGTGAAAGTTGGGCTCAATGAACTGTACAATGGACAAGAGCTGGAAACAATTGGAGGAAAACTACTTAGAGTCTTCGTGTATCGCACAGTAAGTGAATGAGTCTTTCTAAAAATATGCATCCAACTATGAAAACGGAAGTTAATAAAAGGCAAAGCTGAATGAAACCCCAACATTTACCATTATGACTATCTATCAAAAAATCCTTCAACTTTTAAGATAGCAAAAAATGAAAATCTGATCTTAATCCAAGCTTTGTCTGCATGGAGAACTCTTTGGGAAAATGCAACAAAATTTCAAAGTGGGCGTTTAGTTAGTTACAAATTTTTAAAGCTAGTTTTTAAAACTAATTAAGAACATTCTCAAGGGAAAACACACACACACACACACACACACACACAAAGACAAATCAAGTGTTAAAATATTTGCACCATGCTATTTTATTATAGATTTTGCTATTTCTGCTTACTCACGCAATGCCAAATTTCCTGGCAAGACCACACAATTTGACTGTAGGAAATACATATGGTTGTTATTTTTAACATTGTGTAAACAGCTACATTTGTTTATCTTTGAATAAGGCTGTATGTATTGAAAATTCATGCATGGTCAGAGGAAGCAAAGAAGGAAGAAATGGTTTTATTCACATCTTCAGACAGATCATCAATCCACCAGAAAAGAGTTTGCATGAAATGTTGAGAAATGATAAGCGTTTTAGGTGAGTAGCAATACTGACAGAACTAGATTTTCCTGCAGAGGGTATACACAGCACAGCTGGTCTGAGAAAAAGTTTTGGACTGTGAGCATGTGAGTTGTTGGGGCTTTGAGAGTGGGGATGGCAGAGAAGGGTTTATTAACTACACAAATAACATAAAAGGAAAGAAAAATGTGGGCAAAGAGAAATTTCTCCAGCTGTATGCTGAAAAGGCTTCCACACTCAATGCTAGAACATGCTTTTTTATGGCACAAAGGGCATAAAAGGCACTAGAATGAGAGGAGTAACAGGACAGAAGGAATTGAGTGATACATCCAGAGCTATAAATACAATGGTCTCTGGAGTTTTAATTAATGAATGATACAATTCCATATGGGTGCAGCAGGATTGCATACCTTTCTGTCCCTTTTCTGCAAGAATCATACTTATCATACAATCATACCTATTTCTGTCCCTTTTCTGCAAGAATCTCAATACTCCTAAAGCAAGAACAATCATTTGCATCCTCCTTTTATCTGTTTGATCTGCAAGGGTTTGTGTTCGACAAATCCTCCTCTGATCCTGGCTGCAGTTATTTTTTTTTTTCCAAATAATTTTTCCTCTGTCTGCTACTTTATTTCTGGGAAATAGTGAAAGTGTTTGAAAATTGAAACACTATTGGGAAAAAAAATGGGAGAACTAAGTACCTGGACCAATCATACCGCATTTCAATGAAATGTATTTGTGGTTTGTCTGTTTGCTGTAAACAGCATTTTCCTCAGTCTGGTGAAAGCTGCAGATTTGGATGATGTTCTGTCACAGCCTGGACAGTGGACTCTGTTTGTCCCAACTAATGATGCCTTTAAAGGTTTGACTGACGATGACAAGGACATACTGATAAGTAAGTGACAAAAAAACCCCTGGAATTACGAGCAAATTAAAATTTATTGGAAAGGAGACTAATGCACCTCTCACACCAAAGCTGTCTGCTGAAGCAGTTTGCCTTTTGCATAGAGCAGGTCATAGGAATCCCCTTAATTATTTCCTTCTTGGGTATAGAGAAAATGTCTTTTTGGGAAAAAACCTCCAACCTGACATTTAAATTTAAATTTCACTCCTCAATATCTTATTCCATAGTGTTGCTTCCTTCCATTATTTTTGTCTTCAATTCAGAGCTTGAGGTTGTCCAAGTCCAGACTACTAAATTGTCTTGTTAACTACAGACTAATTCTGTAGTTAACAAGACAATTTTATTTGCTCTTCTGCATTTCCAGGGGTTTAATGCACCATTTTTTTTCTATCATTGTGACTCAGTTACTTAAGGCTTTCCTTGGCCCTCTTTTTTTTTTCTTTTTACAGCAGAGTTGGTTTTTTTTGGTGCCAGATTTTTTTCTAGAATTCTGTCTTGATTTTCTTTTAAGTTATTATGTTGCTTTCTCCATAAAGATTAAACCTTATACTATACAGCTTTTCAACAAATATAATACTTTGTTTATCTATAAGGCATACTTTGAAATACTTAGTTTATCTGCAAGAAAGATATAAACCATGGATTATTTTCACCAGTAACTATAGTGGCATAGTTACAAAAGTAATCTGATAGTTTTTACAAAAATCTTTGTATTGGCCATTTTTAGGCTTTTTTATGGAACTTATTGTTACCCATGAATGGCCCAGTGACAAAATATCAGTGCTAATTTTACTAGGAAGAAGAAGACAATTAATTGCATTTCAGTAGTGAAGTAAATTGCAGTAGTGTCAGTGATCAGAGCAAAACACAGAGAAAAAACAGAAAATTTTCACTGAAAGAGATATCAGGAAAAGAATATGACCAGACAAGATTCCCATTGCAGTTTCACCAAGGCTGGAACTCCTAATAACAACTACTATCAGCATGTAATTCTAGTATTAATGGTCAATATTCCATGTAATGGCAAACAGATGTGTTTTAAAGTTTCTCTGCTTGATACCCTGTCTCCTGGGCATGTTATAGTTTTTCTGCAGCCCATCCTATAATTCTCAACCTCCATAGACTCAGACAGCCCTATCAGGATATTAACTTGAGCTAGAGAATATATATTTTTTTAAGACAGTCTTGAAAATATTGGATTTTTTTTTCCTTTTCATCCCACATAGGAATGTTAAACTTTGAAATATGAAAATCTTCCCTAAAATAGGATGGTTTCCCCTTGCCTGACTTCTCCAAGCTGCTTCTGTCCTCTATAAGAACAGACAAACTCAGCACTGCTAATTGCTCCATTGACCCCTTTTATGTTTTTTATAGAAGATTTCTCATAGGATCTTTGTGATTATGTTCTGAGGGATTAGGTTCTGAGTACCTTTTTGTCATATAGTTGGGCTTTTTTACATTGTCATTATTTTAACAAATTCAAATTGTATGTGTTCATGGTACTTTCATACATGTTATGTTTAGTTCTAGCTCAAGTGTATGTGAATCCTTAACATTTCCACAGAGAACAATCCTCTACCATTTAATTATATTCCTACTTTTATATTTTTACATAGGGGACAAAAATGCTCTCAGGAATATTCTTCTTTACCACTTGACACAAGGAGTTTTCATTGGAAGTGGCTTTGAGCCTGGTGTAACGAATATTCTTAAAACCATCCAAGGAGGCAAACTCTACTTGAAAACAGTTAAGTATAGAAAATGTCTCCCGCTACAGCCTTGTAACAGAGATTTGATATTCCATGTCTATCCACATTATAGAATGGCATGCATTTCTCCAAATGTTACAATAGGATTTGGGGTTGTTTTCTAACCCAAGTCCCTGATAACTTGTGTTCTCTTTTGCTCCTTTACCAGGTGAATGATACTCTTCTGGTTAATGAACTGAAATCAAGAGAATCCGATCTCATGGCAACAAATGGTGTCATTCATGTCATTGACAAACTCCTATATCCAGCAGGTGAATATTATTTCGTGAAATTTGTACCCACTCTTTTAAATCTGTTACGTGCTCAGTAACTGCAATAACTTTTAAAAGGTAATCAGTTTAAAGATACAATTCCTATGTGGAATTTGAAACAGAAAATTTACCTCAAGTGTTCATTTTGTGGAAGAGCCTTGGTTAAAACCTTAGCAAGACTTTGAAATTTTATGCAAGTAAAGTATATGAAAGACAAGACTAGCCAAGTCTACCTTTTCTGCTGATATGGAATAATATATATCGAGTACACCCTGTGTGAGTGTTTGAGAATGACTGCATCTCCTGATCATTGTAAATCAAAGTAAAATGCACACAGTTGCTTATTTCCTCTTATGCCTGCTTCTTTTGTCAGAACTGCCTGTTGGAAATGATCAGCTGCTCACCATACTGAAGAAGTTGATTAAATACATTCAAATTAAGGTATTCTTTTAGTAATTATCACTCTGTCTTTCTGGCAGGGTCTGTGTGACTGAGCATGTTATAAATCATAAGTAATTCTATGGTCCTTCCTTTCTTCAGCAGACAACACATTCAATAGCTCCCAGTTATCCCAATATAATCATGAATTATACCCTGCACTCAACAGTTATGTTTTTCAATGCCAAATAATTGTAGAATATTTGCATCTGGATAACAACAGTGTGAATTGGTCCAAATCTTCTCATTAGTTCACTTTTTCACCCTTGGAAAACAAATCACTTATTTGAAAAAAATACCAAGTGACTAAATTCTTATGCCATTAAAGCCAGCAGCCTCAATACCCTGTGAAGAAAAGTAGGCATCCTTGTCTATCTCAGCTATCCTCTTGAGATTGCATTCTCCCTCAACAATGAATGAGAGAACCTAGACAAATAGCATCACCTAACTTTTAGGTCAATGAAGCAGTGAATCCTACCTACACTCACTAGGAAACTGTAAGGCAAACGCTACTTTTTAAAAATTTTAAATAAATTGCTTTTCTGTTTTTATAGTTTGTTCGTGACAGTACCTTCAAAGAGATTCCACTGACATTTTACAGTAAGTTCATTTTAAATACTTCCAGATGAGTTGAATATTGCTTTTTAAGTGGTGCCAATTCCAATTTGGAATTGTGCATCTCTTTTTCAATAAAGAAGAAAGCAATTTCTGGGAAAGTAAGATGTGCCAATGAAGAAAAGGAAGGGAAAGACTCAAAGTAGAATGTTTCTGGCTGCTGTGCTACTGTATTTTTCCCTTTCCAGATGTGTGACTGGAAAGTAACCCTGAAGTAAGCTGCTTAAACTCTTGGGGTAGACAAGATACATATGGAAAAGATTGTTTTTCAGCTTTTAGCCAAGGTTCAGTGCTTGGTGCATAACAGAGTTGTATCCCTCTCTAAGATGTAGCATTGTACTGTACTCTCCAGGATGCAGCATTGTCTGTGTGCTGAGATACTTTTTTTCCATAAATATTTCCAGAGGGACAGAGTGTACCTCTTGACCCTGTTTCCCATATGTGCAAATATGAGGCTTGAATGGGAGACAGTTGTTCAGAATATTTGCTCTTTATGGAGTACATGTAAAAAAAATACCCTTTTTAGCTCCCTTGCAACTTTTCTCAGGATGTGCATTTAATTTCTTATGATAGAGTATGTGTTGAAACAAGGTGTTGGAAGACAAAATTCCTACTGTAACCTTGTGAGGAAAGATGAATTTAGACAAATTATTAAATTCCGACGGAGTCCTACCCATATTTCACAGTATAAAGTGAAACCATCCCATTAGACTTTTGAAAATTTGGAATGGACATTCTGAAGTTAAAACCCCTTGGAACAAAAAATAGAGTAATTCACCCTCATGACAAGTTGAATATGAGTCAACAGTGCCCCAGCAGCCAAAGTAGCCAACTGTGTCCTGGGTGCATCACGCCCAGCATGGCCAGCCGGGCAAGGGAGGGGAATTGTCCCACTCTGCTCTGCACTGGGGCTGCCTCACCTCGAGCTGGGACAGTTTTGGGAGACAGTTTTGGGCTCCCAAAGAGCCCAAAGAGGAGGGTGATGAAGGTGGTGAAAGGTCTTGGGGTCAAGACTTTGAGGAATTGATGAGGTCATTTGACTTGTTCATTTTGGATAAGAGAAGGTAGAGGGGTGACCTCGTTGCTGAGCAGTGACCCCGTCTCAACCCATGCTTTCCCCAAGAAGGGCAGTGGAGGGGGTGTGCTTGTCTGCTTTATGGTGACCAATGACAGGACACGAGGAAATGGAATGGAGCTGCCTTGGGAAAATTCAGATGGACATTAGAAAAAGGTTCTTTACCCAGAGGATGGTCAGTCAAGGGAACACGATCCTCAGGAAAGTGGTCACAGCACCAAGCCTGACAGAGTTCAAGGAGCTTCTGGACAGCATCCTTGGTCATATGGCTTAGTCTTCCTTCTCCTTGGAGAAGAAGGAGTTGATGATCCCTATGCATCTCTTCCAGCTTGAGATATTCTATGATTCTACCTCCATGGGCAGTGAGAGCAGCACAGGAAGCAGTTCCTGCAAAAATTAAGCTGGAGTGGTCAATGTGGACACCTAGAAAGCTGTAGCTGTAGATTCAGTTGAGTGAAAGACGGGGAAGGATGGAACCCCTATCAGTGTGGGCTTCTCCAGTGGATGGGTATGAAACAAATCACTATCAGAGGTGTTCAATGAATATTGAGTCTGTCCTGGGTGGACAACTTGATCTTCCAAGGGCAAACATTCTGTGATGTTCTACCTATAGTTCTGAATGTTTCCTGTGTGTGCCTGATCAACTCCCGAATGAAAAGGGCAATATTTAGCTATAAGGCATGCCAGGGAATTGTGCAAAATTTTGTGTGGGTAATTGTACAAGCCCTCTCTATTATGTACCATACATCATCATGGGTACCATGACCCATGGGTTTCATAAAAGGCAAATACCATATCAGCAGATTCTCTCTGCAGGTGACCTGAGTGGATCACCATTTCATAACCAGGACCAAGATTCATAGTCTAGATTCTTTTCTGTTGCTCTTCCACCCATTAATATCTATGATTTTACCCACATCCTCATGAGCAGACCAAATCTAAGTGATGGTTGCCTCAAAGAAATTGTAAGAATGGAATGCACTGTATATTCCATTTTCTATATTTTCAGAAATTAACATAATTGAAAGCAACGTCCAGCCTATCATCACAAAGGAAGGTAAATGAGGCCTGTGGTATATATATTTCTGCATATGTTCATATACATATTCAGAATATATCTTGAATATATTTCTTTAACGGGATGCATTTTATACCCAGCAACTCCAGGATGCTAAGTACTTTGCTGGAAAAGCAAAGATACAAATATTGCAATTAGAACTGACTGAAATATTTTGTACGAAAAGATTATCCATAGTTTTTCTCCCCAAATGAGTTTTCTCCTTTTTCTATGGATATTTAAAAAAAACTTAAATAATATTTTTTTAAACCATTTATTTTATTATCTTTTTTTCAATTAAGACATTTCCTTTTTTCTAATTAAAACAGATACTTTAAAGTAGATATGTTTCTTACACTTTGAAGGAAAAAATTGGTTAATTTTCCTATAATTTTCAATCAGTTCTAACTACCAATATCTGTTGGATGCCTGAAAATATCTACCCAATTTTTAGCTTTTTTTATTTCTCCATACAGAAGCATGACTTAAAGATTAGTGATGGAACTGAAGAGAAAAAAATGTGGGGATGGGACTGCTAAAATCACTTGTGATTTATAACTTAAGTAAAGCTGATGAGATCCAGTTTCCCATTGAAATAAAAGTGCTGAAAGGGAATTTGTTTTCCCTCAACTGAGAAAGGCAGTGGAAAATGTCATGCAAAGAATTTTATCTAGACTGCTCAATCAGTGTTTCTGGGAGGATTTCCTTCCAGAAGAAGTGACAAATGCTCACTTTTTCAGGAGCTTGTTTGTTCTTCATCCCATTTAGGATTAGAGGCCATTTAACATATATGCTGATCTTTGTTGCCTAGTCTCCATCATTAAATCAGATCTACAGTGCAATAAAAATGGATAGATTGTTTCATATGGTAATTCATCCAAGCTGTTTTAGAAATCTTGCTATGGTGAGGATGAATCACTCTCTGAAAGTACCTCTTCTGCTCTGTTAAACCCAGAGACAGAGTATATAGTTTAGGTGATTTACAGGATGTTTAGAAGTTGAAAAAATTAATTGAAATAAAATTGTCTTTTAAAGAAAAAATGAAAGTGAAAAAATGAAATATTTTATGAAATATTTTATGAAATATTAAAAGTCTGAGCACTTGTATAGTCAAATTTAGAACTAAATTTTAGTCACCAAATAGAAAAAAAAAGTTAGTGAGTATCGAAGGGCTACTCCTTTCCATTTCCAGTACAGTATTTCTGCTTTGGGACACACTCCAGGGAAACATCTCTGGCCAGTGCAGCCTTTCTGCTGATAATTGCTTTAGATATAGACCAAATAAAACCAATTCTGTCACTTCCAAGCTTTCTCAGTAACAGTAATGAGCGGCAGATGCCATCAGAACCACATAAATCCACAACAGTCTGTAGATAAAAGCTGGCAAAGTTAAATGCTAATTTTGTCAGGAAGTTCTCCTACATCATGATGCAAGGGCAATTTCCCTAAAAAATAATTACATCTCCCCCCACCGAGTTTAGAGGAGGTTGTGTGCCTTTTCCTGTCTCGGTGTTTTCTGCTTGTGTTGTTCTTCCATTTTTTGTACTTGAGCATGTATGTGATCTAAAAGATTAAACAGATGTAGAGTTAAATCTGACAGAAATCCAAATTTTAACAGATAAAATATACAAAGGATTGATCCTAGACTAGGCAATATAGCTGGCTATGCCTTCACCTTTTGGTTTGCACACATCTGCTGTATCAATCACATGAAAAGGTACAGTTATTGAGAAATGTAAAAATTAAGCATTTATGAATATTCATAAATACAACTTTTACATTATTTCATTATATTCATCACTTTTATCAATGTAAATTGCTATTTAATAGATTCTCAACATCAAAAAATTCCTCCAGGTTTAAAACAGAAGCAGGGAATGAGTCTTGTAAGACAGCTACTTTAAAATATTTATAAATATTTTTCATTCAGAACTGTTAAAAATAAAAGAAGTGAGGGCTTGTTCAGCTGTTTGTAACTTAGAGTAAATTAATAGAGGTCTATAATAACAGGGAATCTTTATGATTCTATCATATAATTTAATCTGAATTATTTATTTCTAAATTCTAATTGATGCAATCATTTGCTACTGAAAAAAACCCAAAACATTTTTGGTTTTTATTATTGAAGGTTGCCTATATTGACTATTTGCAACAATTAACAGGAGGCACACATCTTTAAAAGCTGTTGTTAAATCCTGATCAGAAATTATGGAAAAAATAATCAATACACAATCACCTTCTACAAAAATTCATATAAAGGTATTTAAGGGATTTTTAAGGAAAGTAAAAAAGATGGATTATGCTAAGTTTCTGTCTCTGAATAAGGAATAAAGAAAGTTTGTTTTATAGCAGCCTCTTTAGTAAAAGGAGTCCCACAGCATTCATTAGAAAAGAACCATGTTATTACTGCTAATTGATGGTACATTCCTAATTATCTAGTATCTCCTGCTTTAGCACATCAGACAGAGATACATTTGGATCAAAATTACCTCACCCATTATAATGATACCCAGTAATGCTGATAAATATCCTTACAGCCATTCCAGCTGATCTCAAAAGTTTGTTTTTTGGTTGTTTGGTTTTTTAAATCTGTGTAACCTCTGGCCAAGTCTTAAATACAAAGGAAAAAAAAAGCCATGTAAAAAAACCTCAAAGTAAAAAAAAAAAAGAAACTCCAAAGCAACAAATAATAAAAATAACTAAAAAACTAAAAGCTTTTTAGATTGCATCACTAGTGGAGCAATAGCTGTAAGATATCTGCAAAGATGGAGAGTAACCTTCTTACCAAGATATATAGAAAAATACTTCCTTTCCACTGCTGATGATCTGGTTTATTGCCTGGAACTTGTCAACAAATTTTAAAAATATCATCTACAGAAAATAAGTAAAGAGTAAGTGTACAACAGAATCTTTGTTTAAGATCTCGTGTGAGAAAACACAAGACTGTAAATGTTGCCACAAATAACCTCTCAGATTTAAGCAGCCCTCTATTACAATAATCTGGTTTATCTAGAGTAAGGAGAGAAAATGCAAGCTTCATCTCACCCCCATGGAATACTACAAGTATTTTATGACTATTTGTAACATGTTGTTTTTTTTCCTATGTCACAGACCCATCTATCACACAGCTCACTAAATTAATTGAAGGGGAACCTGAGTTCAAAATAGTCAGGGAAGGGGAGACAATAACTAAAGTGATTCATGGAGGTTGGTATGCTTTCAGCAACTCAATTTGCATTAGCATTCACTATTCCCCGTCAGTTTATACTTTATCTAGGTGATTCATGTTAGACAGCTGTTCTGTTTTTAAAAAGACTTTTGTGAAGTGCTGCAACTTTAATTGCATCATATACTTTTTAATTCTCATGCATTTCGAAATATTGAGGTTTTTTTCCTTAGTTGTGTTCCATAACTTCAGTCAAGACAGTTTAGAAATACTCTGCATGCTGACATATATCTCAGTCAAGAATTACTTGCTCATTGCTGTCCTGAAATCAAATATGTAGTATGTGATTCTGTGATTAAAAGGCAATTTTGTCAGAAAGAGAGGTAAACCTTGCCTTCTCTTTGCTAAGGGCATTGAGATGTTCACATGTAGGATGGTTTTCATGGAAAAATCACACAATCATCCTAAATTTTGAGTAGATTTAGTTCCTGATCTTTGAACATTTTTATTTTTCATAAAATATTCTATGGTATTTCCTTCTGTGCTTCAGTCAGTTTCCACATCTCAAAAAGAACACTTGAAAGTTCATCACTTGATTAATGCCTTGAATTTAAAAATCCTTGTAGAACCAATTATTAAAACATACACCAAAATCATTGATGGACGACCTGTGGAAGTGACAGAGAAAAAAGTAACAGAAGAAAGAATTATTCAAGGTAAATTAAACTGAGATATTCTTTCTTAGTAAAGTCCAACTTTGCATACAAAAGTAACATATCATAAGTTCTATCCTAGTGCCTAAACTGCATTTCCTTGACAGTTGAATTTTCCCTAATACTTCCCACTGTCTCTGTAAAGCTGGCCATATGTCCTACACACACATATACATAAATGGCAACAATATTTTAACAGCATGCAAAACTATGAAAATTTGTCTTCTTTTTTATTTTCATATTTTGATAAGTGTCTACTTCTGCTACCTTCTTGCTACCATTTCAGAATGAGACTGCTTTTCTTTTATTGTGTTTTTGTACTCTGCTTTGCTTTAGAAGGAAATAATTTTCTTTTTCTTTTTTTCTGAACTTCTGGACTATATACCTCCAGGAAGGTTTCATTTTACCAAACATAGATGTTTAATGTGTAGATGCCTATTTTTGCATGTCATCCCAAGCTCTCTTGACAGCCATTTCAGAAAAAGATCTCTATTTCTCTGGGGGACTTGATCTGACATCCACAAGTTAGACACTTGGATAAAGTTAATGTAAGATAAAATCAATATGCATCCCTGGATTTTATCACACAAAAACTTCCAAATTCCTTGGCCAATTTCAATTGTATTTGACCTATTACATAGCTATTTCTTTAAGCATCCTAGAAACTGATAAGTAGAGTGAGGCATATTTAAGCATAGTAGGTGATACATGGAGTTCTCTGTTGACGCTTTTTGATCACCTTGTGTAAATATCAGTTTGAATGCTGCTGTTAAAATTCTGTCTGCTAGAGAGTTTGTAAGGAAAAGACATTGTTATAACAACATTTTGACTTAGCTGTAAGTCCTAATATTCAGTTTATTTAGAAAATATTGAAATTCAACAAAAGTAACTTGAGAAAGAAAGAAATAAAAAATCATGCTTAAGTTATTATCATACAACTTTTTACTACAATGAAAATAACTGAATGAAAGAAGTTAGTGGTTTATGAATAAAGCTGGGACTATTTTCTGGCAAAAAATTGTAGGGGGAGATGAATAAAATATCATTTTCTCCATTCTCAGATTCAAGTTTCACTAATATTCCATGTGAAATGGTAAATGGAGTGTAAAATGCCAGAATTTCAGACCTATATCTCATTTTCAATCTGTAGAAACTGATAAGGAATCTCAAATATTAAGTCTTCAAATGATTCATAGCAATAACAAAAGCAAAAATGTCTATTTGCAACAGACAATAGACTAATAATGGACTGCAGAAATATCTGATCTATGATCTAATACAACAGAGTTTAAAATTGTGTCTTACTCTAAGAATGTAAGCAGCTAATTTTTCTAATTATGGCAAATTTGCCTAATTATTTTCAGGACTAGTTCTAACTACTGTTTTTAAAGCTCATTCTGTTTAATTTTGGAATTGAAAAAAAAACAAAACTTACCATATAAGCAGACTACAGCATGTAAACTATGGAATCACCACAGGAATTAAATAGGAAAATATAATTTAAAGGACAAACCTGTTATATCTGATAAAAGCCACTATCTTATAAAATTTCTTCCAGGGCCTGAAATAAAATATACCAGAATTACTGCAGGAGGTTCAGACAATGAAGAGAAGTTAAAGAAAATCCTTGAAGAAGGTTAGTATGCTTGTTTTATTTCATTTCTTTAACATATACATATATATATCCATATATAACTTAAGTAATTACTGAGTGGATATTCTATGTTTAAAGAATTTATGTTTATACTGCAAAATCTTACCCAGAGATTAACCCTCAAAACCCTTCAAATGTAAAATTCTGGTTTGAGTCCTTGATCTTCATATTTCAGTCAGCTCTAGAGTTGAGGCTGCCTGGGTCTATTATATAGCATGCTATGTTTGTCATATAATATGGTGTTTCCAGTGTTTATGTGACATTTGATACCATAACATGAATTTTTACTACAAATTTTTAAATTCAGAACAATGCTATGACATGATTGTATATGCTCTTGTGGGATTGCCAAATGTTTTTTGTGAATCAACTTTTTTGCCATAACCTGTATTCTATCAGAGGTTACCAAAGTGACCAAATTTATTGAAGGTGATGGTCATTTACTGGAAGATGAAGAAATCAAAAGACTTCTGCAGGGAGGTAATTTAGAGAATTATAACTAACATTTTTGCAACAGGTTATGATAACTGAAACCCCTCTCAGATATGTTGAACTTAACATTTTAAAGACTGATGTAGTAGAAGTGGAATTTTAATGAAAAAAAATAGAACACTATATTCTAGTGCCAGATATCTGTGAAATGGCAGTAAGAACCAAAGCTTGAGTAATCAAATTTTTCATGCCATTGATCACGGGAAAAAAAGAATTCTTTTTTTCAGTCTTTAAAAGGTTACTGAATTAAAACCCAGGGGAGCAATGAAGATTTATTCCAATATTTTTTAATAAATTTAAATCTGTGAAAAACACTATGAAATGGAACATATTGTAACTGGCCAAATTCATCTTACTTATCAGTTCTTCAGAAATGAATGTTCATTGCCCTCAAGTTAATAATTAAAGGCATGTTTAACATCTTCTTTAAATGCTTACAGGTGATGGATATCCAGACATTAATTCTCTTCAAATACAGCATTCCAAGGAATGGTTATCTTTCCTTCTTGCTCTCTTCATTCTAACAGTTTTGGCAGTATGTAACCAGTAGCTGTAGAAAATAGTGAAAGAACTTCTGCTTATGAAATTAATCTTTATCTATGAATTTGGAATGTTCTCTGCTTATTGTAGATTAGAGAAACTATCTATAATAGCAATGGGTAATAAAAAAAGAATTTAAGTGATACGGTTTTTGTAAATGTTAGTTTGATCCTGAGTCAGAAGCTCAAAAATATGGATAGATGTTTCTCTTCACATAAATTAATCCATTTAATTTTATGTTAACTTTCCAGTAAGTTACAAAGTTATATTCCAGTAAAGTAACTTACAGTCACATTTAGTTCACAGAACTAAATCTCATTGTCTTTCAAAAGCACTTTTGTGTGGATGTGACTTAAACTTCAGTCAAGTAAAAAATTTCTTGATGGCTGAACAGCTGAAACAGCTGACCACCAAACTTAAATATGTTAGTTGATAACACAGCTAGTCTTAGAGAAAAGCCAAGATATGGCTATGACTCCCATTGACTGTAATTCTGTCTGTTTCAAACATCTGAGTCCTAGTTTTACAGACCTAAGCCAGAATTCACCTATAACATTGGACAGAAACAGCAACTTCCAGAGGGCTTTTCATTTTGTCCTAAGTATCCCCGCTATGTGAAAAGATTTGCTCTCTGGAGATGCCTATTTCTGGATTAACTATTTACAAGAAAAGCTGGAAATTAAAAAATCGCAGCAAGAAAATTCCTGTATGTACTGCACTATTGCTTTAAACCAGTCCAAAAGAATCAGGATCAAATCTTATCTGTAGAATTCTGGCCAGATACCAGAATCGAACAATTATAACTGTACTTGTAATCACCTTCAGATACAGACATATGCAATTAGATAGGTCTAATCTGTAGAGATGCATCTTAAGCATATAGGTGTATGGAAAAGAGATGGTTTCTCTCTAGGAAATTTGAAGACAATATTATCTCTTGAATTCTTGCTATTTTCCTTGCTATTATATGTTAGTTTGCATAAGCATCCTGCTTTACAGAATGGACCAAGTAGGCAGACTTGTCTTTTTCTTTAATTTGATTTTCCTCTGTCTTTTCCATGATTTATTCAGTCAGTTACCCTTGGCTGCCATGATAATACCTTACTATACATTTAGCCAATAAAAGCAGACACATATGCTGCTTTAGGGTTGTTGGTGATAATGCTTTATGGCCCTCTTGTCTACATAAAATTATCTTTTACTGAAAATTTCCTAATCATTTGAATTTGAGTACTGACAAAAAAAATATGTATTATTACTGTCTAAATAAAGGAATGATTTCATATGGGCTTTAATTCTGCTCATAAAACATCCAGAACTGCTATAAACAATTAGCAGTCTTTGCTGGAGCAGAACTTTAAACCAAGATTGCAATGAATGACTCATCCCTAGAGATAACATGCTTCATGGCATGAATAGCATGGTAGCCTGTAACACCTATGCCCAAAAATGACATTGTTTCCACTGAGGGCTCCTTGCATATGGAAAAATGCTATGCCAGATTTAACTCATTTGTTTTTGATGCTTACCATAGCCGGAACTGAGTACACCAAGGTTACTAAAATAATTGAGGGAGAGCCACAGATTATCGAGAGAGAAATCAAGAAAGTTCATCTGGAAGGTTAGTTTGTCAAAAATTCAGTATCACTAAGACCCGCTTTGTCCAAAGTGATCATTCCAGGTGAGGTTTTACAGTATCTATTCATAAAAATTATTAGGTCTGAAGACAGAATTTTAGCAAGAAGTGTTTTATAGTTGTTTTGGAAAAGAATTCGTTAACTGATGTTGCAAAGAAAAATGTTGAGGCTTATCTTGTGGCTAAAAGTAACTAAAAGATTTGGCAAGCATAGTAGACAAGAGGAAATACCTAACCACAAAGCTTAGGTAAAACATTTGAAGGAACATGAGCCATAAAAAATTTGCTTTTCTTTAAGCAGCACATACAGAAGAAGACCACGTGAGTTGCTTTTAAATTGAGTTATTTCTTGTCTGTGTAAATGTGATCTGCTGCTGCCTGTGTTTCTCAGTGCTGTGAAGGAATGGGTGGGGTGCAGGGAATATAACCTCTGGGGTTGAGTAAATATCTCACAGGGTCTTGGAATTTCTCTACCTTTGTCCTGTTGTTAAGTGAAGAAAGCTCTTGATTTCAAAAACCAGAATGGAATAAAGGTCCAAAAGGAGCCAAATAGAATTCACTCTGCCTTTGTACCAGCAATTTGTTCTTCGACTTTAACAACCATTGTTTAATGATCTTCATTCAAAGTTAAGAAGTAATTTGCTTAGGGTTTCTTTTGTATTTATGTATTTTTCTAATTCTAATAATGCAGAATAATGCTTCTGTCAGCCTTTGAACTAAATACGGAGGAGAAAAATATGTCTTTTGGACAATGAAATGAAATGAATGTGTTTCTGCCTTTTTAGTTTTGAAGTCTGTGCCAAGTAATGAAGGTTTATACAAAGTGTTTGTACAGCTTCAGTGCTGAGTAGTACAAGGCATGCTGGGGAGTCTCCTGTTGCCTGAAAATGACAGATGGGTGTGATCTTTAAACACAAGCCTTATCTGACAGCATAATTGTACAGACAGCACCTAAGTATGGAAAGCATCCTTTGGATGGACCATATTCTGTCCTTGTCAGGGCAGTGCAGAGCTTGGAATTTTCTGCCATGGTGGTGCAGATACCTGCTGTTTAGTCTCAGCTGGATTGAGGCCAAGCCTGCATCTCAGGGCTATGCATTTATATACCCTGTACATCAGGATGAAAAGAGAACTGGCTGCAGCTTTTTTAGTGAATATACAAGTACTTCATGGTTGTAAAGGAGGAAAAATTACTGCAGCAACATTTCTGTGATGGTAACAGAGGAATGATTTCTTATACTTGTGATGTGTTCTTTCTCCCAATGAGGAGATATCTGGTTAAAAAAAGTCTCAAGATTTGATGAGAAAAAGGAAAACACACCCATAGTTTCACTGAATAAGTGAAATAAAAAGGATATGTCTAATGGGGCTGGTACCTATCCAATAGACCTTGCTCTGCTCCAGCTTTAAAAGCAGAAGCCTGAGAAAATTAACTAAACCTTAAGTGTGGAACCCAATGCAGTTACAAATCAAGCCCAAAACATAGCTGCATATGTGGCCAATATCTTGTAATGGCTCCAAGCATTTAGCTTTTGAATAATTCCTGCAGTAATGTCAATGCAGCAGACCTGGACATCTACTGCCAAAAGCCAGACTGAGTCCTGAGCCTTAACCTGAGCTTGTACTTCACTGACACACTGTCACATGGTGTTTCATGAGTGAAGAGCAAGGGCAAAGTGCCCTGGCACCTGACTACAGCATGTAACCATCTGTAGAAGATCAGTGTGGATAATAGATTAATTCATATGTTCAAAATGCAAAAATACTTTTAAACTGTTACTAAGATTTAATGCACGTGAGAGAAATGTGGGAATTGTATTATAAGCATTCATATTTCAGGTGATCAAGCCAACATGCTTCTGGAACAAATTTCTTAATTTACTGAAAAATTTAATGAACAAACTTCAAAAGTCAGCAATGAGTTTCCAATATTTCTAACGATTTTTAATTCAAAGGCTCCAGCAAATAAATTCTGACTGCAATATTTCTGTTTTCTAGAAGCACCTGCACGGAAAGCACAACCAACCAGGAGGGCACAAGGTAAAAAAAGCCATACATTTAAACATTATAACACATACAAAATATTATTTCTGTTGTCTTAAGAGTCAGGACAGGGGGGAAAAAAGGCTCTGAAAAATACAGATTTCAAAAGAAAAAGCAATATGTTTGTTTTAAAAAGCCCCTAACATAATCTGGAGTTGCTAATTAATTTTTTCTGTTATCTGAAAACAATCTAGATTGTGTGCTTTACTGAAAGAGTGTTTCAGATGAGATTAAAGCAATCAAAGTGAAGTCTGATTTTGGAGTCTTAGCAATGGGAAAATATCACTCTGGGATTCTCCACAGCAAGATTTATAATTCTCAGAATCTATGTTGTTTTGATTAAAGAAGAAGCTGAAAGATCAGCTTAATTTCACAGCTGCCAGCACAAGAGAGACATATTCAGCTCCAGGCTCCATCTTTCCTTTTCACATGTTTGTTTCACAAGTAAATACAGTACATAGTCTTACTATGTTACATATAATTACAGATAATAATTAAAGTTCTTTTTCCATATTTTGCAGGAGGAGGAGCAAGAAGGAGGACAAGACTAGACCATTCCTAAAAGCTTGCCAAGATAGAATTCACAGAATTACAATTAACAACATGGTCTCTGAGAGGAACTGTTTGGATTTTTTTTTTAATAAGAACATTAGAAAATGACATTGTTTTGATGACATAATGTAAACTGAACCATGAATCCACAAAAAGATGTGAAGCTGCAGATGCTCACTGCCAGCACAGTGCTCACTAGGAGTAATCCATTGGAGGTGCTTTTACTGCTCTTGATAGTAAGCACTATTGAGGGTGGGATCCTGCAAGGCCAAAAACTTCTGTTAGAACCAGGATTCTTTCTTCTGCTGGTTAATAAGTGTTTGCAGGATTTGATTAAAAATGAGCAGGGAACAATACAGAGTGTATTTTTTTATTATTATTATTATTTCCAATAAATAGGAAATATAAATGAAATTAGATGATTTCTAGAAAAAAGAAAAAGAATCAACTCAAGTGACTTTTATAGTAATCTAAGGAAATATGAGATGGTAACATAGCACTTTTGGTTCAGTAGTATTGTATGCTTTTGTAAGTCAAAATTCATCATGTGTTTAAATTTGTAATACCTGTAATGTTACCTTTTCTAAGCAAACAAATATGCCTTATATTAAATGTATCATGCGTTTTTTTGTCCTACACTGCATATCCAAATACCTTCTAGTAACTTGGCTAATGGAAGCTCTTCAAAAAGGAAAAAAGCAAACATTATGAGCTTCTTGCAATGTATTAGTGATCATGTTGACTTCTTTATTTATAAGAAATCACTTTCCCATTAAAGGAATCCTATAACAATACATATACTGAGATTCTTGAGTGTTTTCCCATTTTTCCCTAAATGTTTCTTTCGATTATTAAAGTGGATTATAAAAGCAGTAAATAAAATGCATGCAAACAGTTAACTCAGCATGGAAAAAGGTCGTCAAAAAATGAGGCCAGGTCTGAAAGCTTTTGTATCAAAACATGCTTAGCTAATGTCTGGTACTAATGTGGAGTTTTCTGTAAATTATGTCAATTTTATCACTCTAATTTTGTACTCGTGGAAGCTGTCTGCCTTTATCAACAAACAGGGAAAGACAATTATTCATGGAGTAGAAAAACTTGTTCAAAGTTCCTTAATTTTGCAGACCAAAATATCAGAGGCATTGTCTAACATGCTTTTCTACTTCTATTTTGAAACAAATACTCAATAAAGAATTTGGCTGAACTGTGCTTGCTTTCATTTGTAATTATTTTTTAATAGCAAAGCAAATTCTAAGTATTTTTAAGATTTTTAATTTGACTTGTAATTGCAAAATATGCTTTCACAGAAGCAAACTAATGCTTCCCCTTCTTCCTTAGCACATGCTAATGGACTTAAACTGCACCATTCTCCTTAAACAATGAAAACTTTCCCTAATTCCATAAGGACATTCCCTAAACACTGCTCCTTGATCAGTACAGCTATCTGAGAATGGGATTGATAAATTGTGCAGCCTTACTGGGCCATCAGACATGTCACTAAGGTAACCTCAGTATCTACTAGGATAATGCTTTAATGGAAGGACAACTTTTAACCCTGGCAAGAGCCAGAAAGCTTTTAGGTCAACATCAGAGCTCTTAGAACTATCTAAAAGATGAAGCTGTCACCTCTCCCTGGGACATTTGATTGTCATTAAATCATTGGGTTTAAATTTCTTCCTTCAATGCTGTGCTATCATGAGCTATCAGTCAAGTAAGATTTTAATTGACAGGAATTATTTTAGGGGAAGAATGTGTCCGTGTTCTCTCCTCAAAAAAGATTAGAAGAGAAGAAAGAAAATGGAAAGGTAATGACAGGTAAAGAATGGACAGAAAAAAGGAAGAAAGTAAAAGGTAGCAAAAAATTAATTAAGACCTATCCTGTGGTAGGTCTTCACCTTTTCAGGATTTTACCTTTTGAATTGGGAATAAAAAGGATTTTACCTTTTCAATTAGGAATAAATTTGTGAATTTGTGGCAAAGCATAACTTTAGTTTTCTGCATTTCAAACATCTAGTATTCACTAAAATACATTTCATACTTCACCCTTCAATATAATTTATTAATAATAAGTAATATATAATATAATAGTAATATATAATACAATACAAGTTAAATACAGCAGTATATTAAGGACACTCCTCCATGAAAACTTGTTTCCCTGATAGATCATCCCTCTCAGTCCTTCTCAGACCACAATAGATATCTGCCCAGCTACAACAAACAGTGACATTTCTTTTGGTAGAGTGGCTTTTTCTAGCTATCTGAACAGGAATCTTTCCACAATACAGTGTAGAAAGAAAAACAACATGTTCTTTTCATTTGCTTTTCATATGCTTAGCCATTTCTGTGTCAACACAGACAGTTTTTTACCAATGAGCAAATTTGGAGAACTTACAATTTCTCCTGCCCTCCTATTTATTTCCCCTCACCTCAGAGCAATTTAAATTAATGTAATGTGATTTAACAGGGGATTAGCATACTACCAAGTTAGAATTCTCTTTAGCAATAGAGCACTCACTTTACTTTGTGTTTCTTTATAGTCTCTCGGGTATTTATAAACAGGAATGTCCAGTTGAGTTGGTGATGGAATTCTCAAAGCATTTCTTCTGCTTCTTTGATATCCTGTATGAAAACTAATTCAGAAGAATTTTGAACTGTCAATGTTTCCAAATGTTTCAGTTTTGCCAGCAGAAAGTAAACATAAATAATCTACAAGATCACAAAATATGAAAGATGATCGAAATAAAATAAAATGAATAGTTTAATTCCTTTATAAAGACAATGGTGTGAAATCTGAAAAAAAAAATGAGAGGAAAGGGTTTTTTACCATTTCCATTTTGACAACTGAAAATGTGCTTAGCAAGTGACCATCTCCAATGTGAACGTAGGATGCTCTTTTCATGTCATTTGTCTCTCAGAAAACCTGGAATAACAAAACTAAATTCAAGAATTCCACTTTTGTCCACAAAGTACTCTAATAAAATAGTGGGTAGGGACAGTTGTCCTTAGAGATCAGTTGTATTGTATTTAATTCTTTTACTGTCTAAAGTTCAGACCCAATACACACCAATCCCAGATGGAAGGTCTGAGTAGGTATACCAAAGCCTAAGCACAACTCAGATGGAGCAAGAGCTGATTCCTTTTAGTTCCAGAATTCTCAGTGATAGCATAAGATGTGTAATTGGATCATGTGGGATTTTCTAAGATTTATAGTGGCACAGAGCTTCATGTTCCATTAAAGGAAGATTTGCCTCCACTTCTCTTCTGCATAAACCCCATGTGTCAAGATTTCAAAGGTTCTTGTTGTGTCCCCTTCCTCCAAAGGTATGCTTTTTATAGCATCTCAAGAAAATGTAAGCCTCTCAATACTGACAAGGGTTGTTTTACAGTACATCATTAATTTTTTTTTAACATATGGAAAAAAAATTAGATTCAGTATATACTTTTTTTTTAACCAAGACTAATTAAAACATTCAGTGATAGACACAAAAGATGAGCTACAGATTCTATATGGGGAGGATAATTCTGTGTGGCACAAGTAATTAGGATCAGAGTGACAATATCTCATTAGGAACCCAGCATGCTATTGACTGAGAAGTAGAAGCAGTTTCTATTCAGGAGACATTTCAGTCTCCTTTACAGCCATACTAATTTATTCCTAATGTCATGCTAGATTAAAATTCTTCCTTCCTTGCTGTTTTAACTAGCATCCTTTAAATACCACAGACATCAAGCTTTCTTTTATGGATATTTTCCTTGCTAAACAAAAGTAACCTCTATGATAGAATGTGCAAGTCAGAGGAATGGCGTCAGCACTTAAACTTTGGATCATAATGTTTGCTGGTCCTCATGTGTCAGGTTACATTCTTGCTTCACTTTCTGATCTGATGCATCTCCTATCTGCTCTGATTTCTTGACTTTTGATTTTATCTTTCATCTATACTACTGAGTAAAAACATAACTAGAGATTTTGGTTGTGTATTTAGATCCAGTGGCACATGCAGCCTTCATTCGCACTACCATCACTTTGTTCTCAGCTTCTTTTACCACCTAGTCCAATGCCTGACACAGGTGCAGCCTTTGCCCTTAAACTTGCTAAACCTCATGAGGTTCTCACGTTTGAGGTTCACGTTTGTCCAGGTTGCTCTGAATGGCATCCCCTCCTTCTGTTGTGGCATCTGCTCTGTGCAGTCATCTGAAAACTTGCTGAGGGATATGCCACTAAGAAATAGAAGATGCTGCTGGTCGTGGTGTGCTCGATGTTTAAGATAGGAGGAGTGCTGCTTTATGCATGCCTGCTTTATATTAATTCATTTCAGGATGCCTCCTACTGATACATTTAAGATCTGTTTTAATCATGTCTGGGTTGGATCACAGGCATTTATACCTCTAATTGCTAGGCCAATTGTATTTTAATGTTTTCTTTAGTGAATACTTAACAGTTTTTTCCAGCAGCCCTATTTCTCACATGGAACAGCTGTATTTCTAACCAGTGGAAGATGTGGCCTGAATCAAGAGCACATTGAAGCCATGTGATCTGACTGTAACACTAAACAGAATTAAAACAACACATTTGTTAATTGATAAAAATCCATCACTGCAAAGAGTACTGGCAAGAGACAGAGATGTTTTCAGGGGCATAGACAGGAGTGATTTGGGGTATGATTTGCAGAAGTTTACCCCAGTCTCTTCAGGTTGCTGACTATGGAGAAAATTACCTATTAAGGTTGTCAGTGTCCCTGCAATCCCCCAAAGCTCAGGTGCCTGTCTTTTGCTCTGTCACCATGGTCCACAGTAAATCCAGGTAGACAGATCAATCTGTGTACAGACAGATTAATTTGTCTGGAGGACCTAGTAGGACTTGTTTCTGTCTTCTATGAAGACCACGATTACAAAGTGCCTGTATGGTGGTTGAAGATATAGATGGAGGGGTGAGGAGACTGCTGAGCCCTCTTGTTCCATCTCTAGAAAAAAATAAGCAGTTGAGACATAACTGGGAAAGTCTGTTCTTTCCAGGGAGGGAAGAAGGATAACTCATTTCTGGATCCCAGCTGGACAGAGATAGGAAATACAGTTAGTACAAGTTTTAAAGAGGAGTGCTGGCAGATAACTTTTTAAAATAAGTATATTGCTGCTGTTTTGGGGGTTTTATTTTGAATTTCCATATGAAATTGGATAGGGATGAGGTTATCTTTGGAAAAGCTTATCCTATGATGCCAAGAACTGAGGAATATTGCATATAACCA